GATGAGAATGCAATTTTTTAAGTTCCCATAAATGACTTCTGTTCTAATATGTTTACCATATTGATTTTTCCAAGTGATGAATTCGCGCTCATCCGAAATTCATTGACGTGTTTTATGGTGCAGCAAGATACTTCCCTCTAATTGCTTCGCATAATTGCCTTTTTGGGCATGTTTCGAAGGCAGAAATTGCTCCGGGCAGAATAGTCAAATATCAGACAATTTTATGAAGGATCTTTTTTTTCTATCAACAACTTTTAACAAAGGCAAGATGAGATAGTCACTTGGGCTTAAGGACTAGTTCTTCAAATGGGTCAATGATTGTTTTTAGACAACATGGAGCTGGACCAGTCGGGTTTAGAATAGATTTTAAAAATTTCGTACTTCATTTCTTTTTTAAGTTTTGGATTATTTTGCTGAATCACAATTCAAAATGGTAGAAAAATTTAATTTCAGAAAAAATAAATTTATTTAATAAATAATTTGAGAATTATAATATACAAAAATTTTGCATACTAGAACCAGAAAGCAATTTTTTCTACAGAATTGATTTTCATAACGTTCTGCTAATTGCGCGGTCTTTTTTATGAACGCCCACAGAAGGCTCATTTTGACTTTTGAGAGACCAAAGATCTCCTTTCCAACAAAAGAATTCATTTTTCTGCCATAAAAACGTCCCTCAAAGCAAGGAAGAAAAACATATCAAAAGAAAAAGTATATGATGATAGGATAGGGAAAACAGCCCAAAGAGCCCACTGAAGCCATCCAGTAATTGATTGTTCAATAACTTTGAATGACCCGAAAAAGGTCGTTGCATGCTTGGCTCCATTATTTGTTCCCCTAAACTAAAAATTTGGTTCATTATATTTTGATCGGTTGAACCAGTGTGAAGAAATATGATTAGCCAAATACAAAATTATGTTCCCTGCTCACTTGTGAAGTAAAGGGGAACATCGAACTAAAGAATCAGAAAAAAAAGAAGTAAAGTCTCCTTAAGTTTCGGTTTTTATGCATTTGCGAAAGTCTGGACGGGGTCGATGTTAGCCATGACTGGCGCAGCTGTTCCAGGATCGCACCGGTCGCTTCGTCTCCTTCGTGATAGCGAACTTCTCGGTGGATCTTTTCGTTTTTGAAAGCCTGGCAATTGGTGGCAAAATTCGGGACATACAAAATATCCGTTCCGTCTCCAAATACCGAATAATTAGTCGCCTTTCTCCACCCTGGTTGCAAAAACGCACCGGATGTTTTAGTCACAAATATCTGGAAATGCCAGTCAACATATTTCTTGCGTGTAACTATAAACGCATAACTTTCGTGTTCCGCTGCCCATGTAGGTTGCAGAAATGCCTGTAAGCACGTTTTCATTCTACTTAACCGCCAGAGAGTTTATCACCTTCATACCGTGTTATAACAACCCGGGACGAGGTGCTCGACTTATGTTTCGACTTTGAAAATCAATCACGTGCAACTTTGCGACTGAAAACTCGTGGTCGAGAAGCAATTTTAAGTCGAGCACAAAGTCGTAACGTACTCAAATTTGGGCCGAGAGACTCGAACATAAGTCGAGCACATTCGAAAGATACACAGTTTTGCTACAGAAAGTCGAAACATAGGTCGAGCACAGACGAAACATAGATCGAGCACGGTCGACACCTAATTCGAGCACACTCGACACCCACCCGGTTTCGGCCAAGTAAGTCGAAGCATACGTCAAAAACAGTCGAAATATAGGTCAAGCACAGCCAAAATTTATATCGAGCACAGTCGAAACAAAATTCGAGCACAGTCAAAACATAGGTCGAGCACAGTCAAAACATAGGTCGAGCACACTCAAAACATACACAAGTTTGGTAGAGAAAGTTGAAACGTAGGTCAAGCACAGACCAAACATATGTCGAGTACGGTCGAAATATAAGCCGATACACACCCGATTTTGGTCGAGTAAGTCGAAACATACATCCAGCTTAGTCGAAACACAGGTCAAACACAGTCGAATTATAGGTCGAGCACAGTCAAAACATAAGTTCAGCACAGTCGAAATATATTTCGAGCACAGTCAAAACATAGGTCGAGCACAATCGAAACATGCATAAATTTGGTAGAAAAAGTCAAAACACAGTTCGAGCACAGACAAAATATGAATCGAGCACGGTCGAAACATAAGTCAAGCACATTCGAAACACACCCGATTTCGGTGGAGAGAGTTGAAACTTAGGTCGAGCACAGGCAAAACATAGGTCGACCAAGGTCCAAACTTAAGTCGAGCACACTCGACACAGACCCGATTTCGGTAGGGTAAGTCGAAACATACGTCGAGCTTAGTCGAAACACAGGTCAAGCACAGTCTAATTATAGGTCGAGCAAAGTCGAAACATAGGTCGAGGAAAGTCGAAACATACGTCGAGCCAAGTCGAAACATAAGTCTAGCACAGTCGAAACATATTTTGAGCACAGTCAAAACATAGGTCGCGCACAGTCAAAACATAGGTCGAGCCCACTCGAAACATACACAAGTTTGGTAAAAAAAAGTCAAAACATAGTTCGAGCACAGACAAAATATGAATCGAGCACGGTTGAAACATAAGTCAAGTACATTCGGAACACACCCGATTTCGGTGGAGAGAGTTGAAACTTAGGTCAACCACAGGCGAAACATAGGTCGAGCACGGTCCAAACTTAAGTCGAGCACACTCGAAACACACCCGGTTTCGATCGAGTAGGCCGAAACATAAGTCGAGCTTAGTCGAAACACAGCTCAAGCTTAGTCGAATTATAGTCGAGCAAAGTCGAAAAACAAATCGAGCAAAGTGGAAATACAAGTCGAGGAAAGTCGAAACATTAGTCGAGCACAGTCAAAACATAGGTCGAGCACAGTCAAATTATAGGACGAGCACACTCGAAACGTTGGGCGAACAGTCAAAAAACGGACCTAGAAAAGCAATTTTTTTCGGATTTTTTGCTGTCATAACTACCAAGTTTATTTAAGCGTTTTACAGAATCTTACGTTGGCGTTTCATACCACTGAACAGTAAAGTAAAGATCAAGTTTTGAGTGCATGGGTTCGGTTTTGATATTTCAAACTGTCTGTCGAGAAACTCGAAAACATCGACTTATATTGAGTTTTTGCGGACAAAAAGAAAACGTATCATTGCGGGGTTAAGCAATCAAGTTTTAAAGACCCAAAAAGACCCAGTTTTAAACCGAGCTTTTTTGTTGAGTCGAGAAACTCTAAACATATCGAAATTTTCATGAGAAAATCGAAACATGCCGACAATGGGCCGAGAAAGTCAGAACATATCAAAATTTGGTCAAAACATTGTCACAAACCAACTTTTGGTCGAAGAAGTTGAAACATTAATCGAGGATGTCGACTCGGTTAGAGACACTAAGAAACAATGTTATTCACAATCCCGACAATCCCTAAAATGATAAATCAAAATGTTCAGCAGCTTCTTCTTGGGATCAGCTCTTTCGGCTCTTTTGCGTTTCTAGCCAGTTTAACAAATCATAGGCACAATAAGTAAACTATTCTTCAGTTGCAGAGGGAGTTTTATTACAAAGCCCATGGAGAGCTAACTTTTACCAAAACACATCTAACACGAAGCCAGTGTTACGTGCTGTTCGACCACCGCCCCGTCGATTTGCTCACCAATCCTTGTTTGACGCAACGAATTTATTTCGGTAGTGAACACGGAATCCTATCAAATAACACATTTTGGGATTCCACTAGCCTTAGTTTCGAGTAAAAGTGTCCTTCACTGACCGAATTTCACAACCGTTCTCACTAACTAAGAATCAACGCCTAATTCTCTTAGCGTAAGTGTTCTCTTACTAACTATGAGAATCAACCATACACTCTCTCTCTCTCTCTCTCCGCAAAAATTGTTCTTCCTCTTGGAC